ATTTCTATTTTTCTTTTTTTCGTTTGAAATTGATTTTCTATTAAACACATCAATCATTTTCAAACATGACAATAGTCTAGGTTCGTTTGTTTAGTTACATGCCAATACTTATCGTCGATTTATTATTTAATTTAGGAAGAGAAATATTCAATTTATTCTTGACAATAGTAGTAGTAGTAGTATGAATTTCATTTTGTTCATTTGTTTGATTATTTGATAATTTGTAACGTTTATAAAAAAGAATAGATGATGGATTTTGAAGATATTTCCATGGATGAATAATTTTTTCTGGATAATTTATTGATTCAATTTGACGTAAATGTAATTCACGTTTAGCAATTTCTACTTTACGTTCCCATGCATGTATTTGACGATAGAGATTTATTTGTTTAGATTTTAAATCAACATAATTATTTATTGATGGTACACGATAGGATATAATCATTTCATGAAGAGGATCATTTATTTTTTCATATTCAATAATTTCCTAAAGACAACAACAAAAACAAAAAAATCAATAACAAAAAATAAACATAAGTCAACATTTTTTAAAAAAAAAATACATCTTGCATTTTTCGTTTTACTTCATTGTAATGATTTAATTGTTGAATTGTTGAATTGATTTCATTACGTATTGATGTAAGTGTACGAATTTCTTTAAATAACTCTGGCTAAATAAAATATTAGAAGAAAAATTTTTATAATATACTTCAAAAAAAATATTTAAGACCTTTTTTGCATTAAGTTTCATATTGGCTTCTGATTGTTGTCGTTTATAAAATATAAGCATTTTATTTTTCATATTTAATTCTTTTAATTGTTTTTCTATATCAATTTTTAATTGTTCAAAATCTACTTCTGTTATTGTATCAACTAATTGACGAATCTAAATTTCTTATATATATGATAGAAAATAAAAATGAAAAAAAAAACCACATATAACGTCTAACTTTTCGAAGTGATTTTTCAATACCATCAATATGAAAACGAAGACGAACTGTTTTTTGTCGTTTCTATTGTATTATATTAAAGTATAAGGTATTGTTTTCATCTAATGATTGTATAACATACTCTTTCATTCAATGCATCCTATACAAAACAAAAAAAAAACAACAATGAAAAGATATTGTATAAGAATAATGCCAAACGTAGATTGTATTCGAGATATTTTTTCAACCCTTTTTGTAAAACTAATGCAGTAGCAAATCTACAAAGTTCAGTATGTTTGCGAACATAAGTTACTATTAAATATTTAGGCTGTTACAACAGTCCGTTTCATTCCACGAACAATAACACACCAAACGATGACTATCTTCCGATTAAGCCATGCAAGGTATAATTTATCCAATAACTTCATGAAGAAGATTCATAAGATTGAGCTAAACTGTCAAACTTTGATACTAATGTTAGAGAACATTAACATTTCGGAGAATTCATGTTTCTACTGATGAAGACTCTTCTCACTCCAATGATTTTGTCAGTAAATATAACGCGAAAGCGAGCCTTAAGAAGATATATCTTGCGGTCTAGTCAAATTCAAAATGAGATTAAATAACGGAAATAAACTTTTTCCAGTATCTCAGGCAATGCACTGAGTTCAAGTCAGCATGGTATCTTTTCGGGTACCCTGTTATCAATATGTAATAGAACCGCGGTTGAGCACTCTGCTAAGATTTATTTCAGTACATGGGTATTTACCAGGTGCCTGTTCAGTCTCCATAGCATTCTATGAAAAATTTTTTAACAAATTAGCAAATTGAATATGTAGAAGCGTTTTGTAGTCAAGTGCTAAAAGACTCATAAAATATCCTAAGGTGCCGAATTAAGCAAAGATTCCTGTAACATACTGCTAGCAGGGTACCCTGCGCTATTTTTTCAAATATGTCGAAAAGGATGGATTTAAATATTTCAAATGATGACAATTATTTTTGAATATTTGTTATGAATAGAGATTGCGGGACCAAGCTTTTTTGGTTCTGATCCTGATCTAGAGAAAACTATTCCTGAATTTATTCGTACTACATATGAACAAATTCTTCAATACTCGTTTTTTTTTATTTATTTAGTCGACTACTAGCACTTTCTTTGGGTTATCTCTCTTGCGTTTTGTTTTGATTGATAAGATAATTCACTTAAAACTATACAATATTTAATTGTAATCTATAGTTGCGGTTGAAACAAGTTTACATCTACTAGAAATTTGTTCATTATATTAGGACTATACTCGTATGAAAATTTACTCGATAACGAATTCGATCATGAACGAATGCAAAAAGTTCTTCAGTTGTAAATTTCTTTTGTGTATCATATAAATTTTCATCGATTTTTTGAATAAATTTTTTCAATGTAATCAATTCCAATTCTAAATAATCTATTGTTTCATCATCAGTTTCCATTGTATTCTAAATATACATTTGAAAGTTTTTTTTTATTTAAAAGTAATTTATTTTTATTAGATTACAATGCATTCATCAACATATTGTGTTGTATTAATACCATATTTTTGTGAATAAGCAAGAAGAACTTTAAATGTTGTTTCAGCTATTTCACGTTTCTTTTGAATTGATAATGGTTGTTTAATTTTATGTTTTAAAATTTGATGAAGAAAAGGTTTGTTTTCATCTAAACACTAAATAATTTAGTTCAAAAAAAAAAAAAAAAAAAAAAAAAGTTGAATTTATATTTTATTTTGTATTCTATTTACTTGATACAAGATTATGATTAGAATTTTTCTTTTCTTGATCTTGATTTAGAATTATTTTCTTTTCATACCATATTAAATAATTATATAAAAGACGATTTTCAGCATGAAGAAATATTAGTTGTTCACTTTTCAAAAAGAAAAAGATACAAATAAAATTTATTAGGAAGAAAACGATAACAAAAAATTTTACTTAATCTTTTTAAGTTTCTTTTGAATTATAGGAATTGATAAATTAGATATATCTTCTTTTTCATGTTCATTGTATATAGTATTAACATAACCATCAATAATTGCTGCTATATTTTTGCTCATTTCTTGACGATGTAACATATCATTTGACATTGTTTGTTGAAATATTATTGAAGTATATTTTTAGCGCCGATTTCATTAGACATTGAGTCTTTGATGAATCTCGATGAAGTGTTTTGATTATAATTAATGATATGGAATATAGTTATTTATACATTGTTACTCAAATTATTTCTTATGAATTTTTCATATATTGACGAGGAATCCATTCCATTTGTCTCCATTTTTTTCTAATATATAGAAGATCACTAGTCTACTGTGATTTCCAAAATTTTTCTGCTTTTACTTACGAGGGAACCTCTTCAGGTGTTAAATCGCTTTTGGCTTGAGACTATAGCCATTAGATAGACCCTACTGAGATGTGCTCAGATCCATAAGGGTTCGGGTGCATGGGCCTCTGGGGGTGAGATATTGGATTTTTTAGGGTATTTTTCTAATGGGGCCTTGGTATTCGAGAAAAATCAAACTTTGGAATTTACACCTGAAATTTTGCCCAATTAAAGGTCTCTACTAGAGTAGATATCACGCAAAATTTCAGATATTTAGCACAAACCTTTCATGAACTATAAACTAATCAAAATACCTATGGCTCCTATATGGAGGAAGCTCGCACTTGAGAAACCAGTAGCTGACGAACGGTTTGTGCTAAAGATCTGAAATTTTGTGTGATATCTACTCTAGTAGAGACCTTTAATTGGGCAAAGTTTCAGGTGTAAATTCCAAAGTTTGATTTTTCTCGAATACCAAGACCCCATTGGAAAAATACCCTAAAAAATCCAATATCTCATCCAGAGGTCCATGCACCCGAATCCTTATGGATCTGAGCACATCTCAGTAGGGTCTATCTAATGGCTATAGTCTCAAGCCAAAAGCGATTTAACACCTGAAGAGGTTCCCTCGTGAGAAAGGAACTTTTTAGTAGATTCTTCATGCAAGAGTTCAGTTCTCAAAATAAACTCTATTTAGGAATCCGTTGGACAATGATAAGATTCTCGTTTTAGTCTTTTATGTTTTATCAAAAACTTCTATTCATATATAAATCATTTTGATGAAATCATGACTGATCTTCGTGTATGGAAAAATATTTCACATTATTTCAAAGAATTTTAGTAATCAAGAGCAAATTATGACAATTTTAAGAGGATTTTCTTATTATAAAGTGTCAATTATGAAAAAAAGGATAAGATTATTTTCGTTTTTTGAAAAAGTTTTTCTTATTTATTTCAACATATCATCAATATGGTTAAGGTAGTCACTTATGTATAAACACTTTTGATTCCTTCTTCATGACATAAGAATAAAAGTTTTGCTCGACATAAAGTATACTCGTCAGAGTTTTTCTTTCTTTCTATTTTGTATTAGCCTTCAGATGTATAGTACAAAATATATTTTAGTCTGTTAAGTGTTCAGAATTTATTCGCATAAAATCTAAAAACTCTTCAAATACTCATACTTTGATTTATGTAAATTTACAACATATTTTGCTAAAAACTATAGAATGTCTAACTATAACTTTTAGATTCGATTCGAACTTTTAGTTTTTCGTAGCCTCAATCTTGCTCACCAGAACTAAAATTGATCTCACACTTTTACTCTAAGCTTATTCATAATTGATATCTAAAATCTGATTACAATATATCGTTTATTCGATAATTCTACTGACATATAGCGATCTCTGTCAATCTAACAACAAATCAATTTAATTTTACTTATAAAATTATGTATAATAAACATTTAAAGACGTAAAATATATTACGAAGAATATTTTTTGTTTTCTATTCTCATAATTTAACTGTTGTTACTATGGATATGACTACTTTAAAAAATATGGTATATACTTATTAAACTAAAAAGAAACTATTTTGAACAAGAAAAATAATTTAAAATGTATAGAAAAGAAACAAAGAAAGGTCAATTAAATCATTTTACACTTAAACATAAATATCACATGTAGTGCTACTTTTTTAATTGATGAATTTAATATAAAATGCAAGTCATACAACATAAAGTTTCATCAACAGATTGTCAAATTAGTTTGAATTCTCCAAATGAAAAGCAACAAATCATAACAACAATGTCAAATCGACAACATCAACCATTAATATTTTCTATTGATAATCGTTTATTAGAACAACATTTAACACAACTTGATTTATGTTCAAAAAATTTACAAAAAATTGATAAATTATCAACTAATATTAATTTTAATATTATTCTACTTGATAATAATGAAATAAGTAAACTTGAAAATTTAGATATATTTTCACAATTAATTCAAGTAAGAAAAAGAATATAAGAAAAATTTTCATTACATTTTTTTGTTAGTTATCAATATCTCATAATCGTCTTATCGATATTCGTTTACTTAATCGATTACAATCTTTACAAAAACTTAATTTATCATATAATTTAATTGATTCAATTGATTGTAAATCAAAAACAAAAAAAAATAGCAACTTTATTTCATGAAAACAAAAAAAAGTTTTCTTTTTTCTTTAAGGTCTTAGAACTTTACAAAATCTTGTTATGTTAAATATTTCAAATAATAATATTCATAGTATTGGAATATTAAATGCTTGTCATACTTTACAATCTTTAGATGCAAGTGAAAATTCAATACAACAAATTGAAGATCTTTCACATTTAATAGAACTTAAAGTAAAAATAATTTTGAAATTTAAAATAAAATAAAAATTTATTTTTCTTCATAGTATTTAAATTTACATAAAAATTTTCTTGATACATTAATTTCAATTCCACGTTATTGGCCAAAATCACTTCATACACTTATTATATCAGATAATGAAATTCAAGATTTAACTGAAGTAAATTTAGGTTTTCTTTTTTTTTTCAAATATTTATTTTTCTTTTTTTTTGAAAAAGATTTCTTATCTATCATCATTTTTCAATTTAAATACATTTTATATTATTGATAATCCATGTTTATCTGTGGTAGATGAAAAACATGGTTGTCATCAACCATTTGATTATCGACCATATATTCTTAATTGGTGTTTATCTATTCATAATTTAGATGGAATATTTATTACACGAAAAGAAAGGTAAAATTTTCTAATATTTAATCTTAAGATGAAACTAAATTTTGAATAAATATAAATCATATACTGTTGAGTTAGTTCGTCTTAATTTAAAAGTAAAGTTAAACTGTCATTTCTAATCTGGATATAACTTAAAAACTTCATTAGATTTGATTTTGTTTTTTTTTTGCATTGAAAAATGATATGTAAACATTTTTTTTGATTTTGATTGATAATATAGTTTAAAAGCTGAATGGTTATTAAGTCAAGGTAAAGGTCGATCATTTGGATCTGGTGAACATGTAGAACTTGTTCAATATTTAACAAGAGTTTGTGGAACAGATACTGATGAAGTAAAATAAATTTTAATTTTGATTTTATAATTCTTTATTTTTTTAAAGAGAGATGATCTACATTTATCACGTATTATGTTTCAACAAGATTTGTATAATCAACAACGAAGAAGTAGTGATAATGGTAATATCAAAGAAAATTTAATTTATTTTTAATTTTAATCATTTATTTTTTGTTTTTTTAGAACAAATGATGATAACATCAGATACAATGCAGGATGTCAATGATACATTATCTAAAAGTTTCTTTTTAATTTTTTATTAATAAAAAAAATTTATGTTTTTTTTTTTGTTTTGTTAAGATACTGAAGAAAAATTTCAACAAAGTACATTTATATCAGAATCGGAATTTCTTAAATTAAATACTTCTTCTACAGTTGATGAACATATAATATCTACTCATCGTAAGATTATTAAAATTAAAGAAAAAAAAAGAAATTTTTTTTTTTCTATTCCTATCACATTCGTAGAACAACAAATGCGAACACCACGTTCAGAATATAGTAGACCAACAAATATTACTACGAATTATATTGATGATCAAATAACTGAAAATAGTTCTAGTAATAATCGTTATACGAATTATGATAATCGACCTATAAAACCACTTGATCAAAATATGTTTCAAACAAAACTTAATCAATATCCAGTTAATAAGTAAAATTTATAATTTTACAAGAAAAAAAGAATTTTTTTTTTTTTTTTTTCTAAATACCATTAGTCATAGAAATAATAATATTCAACAAACTAAACGAACATCTTCACATTTAACCTATAATGCTAATCGTTATTCACCAAAAACGACTAGACTTGAACCAACTACTTCATCAATTCAACATATAAAATCAAATCGAAATCTTATTAGGCGTAAGAAATTTTTATTAATTTATTTTCATTTATAAATAAAATTTTTCGAAATTATAGAACGTAACAATCGAGTAAAACATCAAACAACCAATTCAAGTACCACCAACGCATTACGATCGCTTAATCATTCACATGAGAAAAATCCATATTGCTTGACAACCATAGCCAAGGTCAAGAATAAAGAACAACAACCATCAACAAGTACTTCAAACGATAACAGAAATCGTAAGAATCATTTGACAAAAAAAAAAAAAAAAAAAAGTCAATATTATTCAAATGAAATAAAAATTACAAACATTACATTATCTTACATCATTTTTACTAATATAAATTCTATTAACAGAAACATATTGAAAAAATGAATTGAAGAATTTTATTTCTTTTTCAAATTAGAACATTCGGTTGATGATAATGATGAACTTCAATTAAAATCAGCTCCTATCAATGATATGTTTTCAACTCAAAGTATAACAACAATGAATAATAATGTTGAATTACAACGATTAACTGCATCAGTTGAAACAATGCGAACATCAGTTCTTCAAGCGTATGTTTAAGCATAATTTTTTTTTGTATTTTATAAAACAATATAATATTTTAAAGATATATTAATTTACATGAACGTTTTACAAAAACAACAGAATTACAAACATCAGCATTAACTGCACTTTGGAGAAAAGTAAAATTCGAAAGAAAACAAAAAATAAATATTTTTTATTTTTATTTTTTAGTATGAAACACAAACTTTAACTCATCAACGTGACACTGAAAAATTAATAGAAGAAAATCGATTACTCAATCAACGTATGCATGAACTTGAAGCTCGTTTAAATGCTACTAATGAAACAAAAACAGTAAGAAAAAAAAAGAACCTCTCAGAACGATATTTATCAGATTATAAAGGATACCTAATAAATTCTCATCCTCTTCAAGTAATATTCTTTTCTTATAGAATAAGCTAAAAGTCACAGCATATATATAGGTCATTTCAAGCACTCACCTTTCATTTGACTTTGATTCTTTACAAGGGTTGTTTTTTTCAGCTGACTGTTAATTAATTAAAAAAAGTAATTAGCAAGAGTATGTCTCTAACCTTATGAGAGAAAAACAAAATTCGAAAATGTCAGAATAGACTCTACGACATAAATTACATCTATGATGAAATTTTCACCAAGACCAAATTCTAAAATAAAACTTATGCAAAAAAAAAAACACCTGTTTGTACTGAACTATATTTTCTATTCGATGTACTAACAATTTATCCTATTTTCTAGATTATTCAATCATCAAATTCTACAATGAAACAAAATCCTAATTTATTTCCTCCACTTCGTGCTCATATATCAAAACGTGATACAAAAAGTTTTTTTCTTCATTGGATACCTAATCCATTAAATGAACATCGTACTATTCTTGGTTATCGTATATATATTGATGATATATTAAAAGGTACTATTGATTCTGGTCGTTTTGAAGCTATTATTGATTATATTCGTGATGAAGGAGAATATAAAATAAAACTTCGAACTTATAATGAATATGGTGAATCTTCAGATTCAAATATTGTTATTGCAAGATTTCGTCGTCAACATTCAATAATATCAAATCATATTATTAATCAAACACAAATAAATGATAATTTTATTATTTCACCAAAAGAACCAGATAAAACACTGATTACTAAAGATGAAAAACGTATCAATATTAAACAACAACAAAACAATGCTCCAATAACACCAGAAAAAAATATGGTAGATAAAAATGAAGTTTTTTTTTTGGTTTTTCATTTCGATAAATTTTCAATTTTAGACAAAATCTGATGAACATATTTCACCATTGAAAATAAGTCCTAATCTTACTGTTAATGATAATATTATTAGTCATAAACCACCAAAATCACCAACTACTAGTCCTAGTCGAACGGATAAAACATCACCAAATAATAAATCATGTAGCAAAGTTTTATTTACTCATAATAATAATAATAATAATGATTCATCAACAGTTATTACAACAAATCGTAGTCCTACACGAACTGGTGTTATGTCTCGTCTTACTAATAGTTCACATAGAATCAAACGAAATAATATTCTTACAAATCCTCTTCCAATTGAGATAAGTAACAACAATCCAATGGATGTGTTGAATGCATCCGAAATTCAAGTAAACTTCAAATTTAAATTGATAAAAAAAAAAAAAAACAAAGAATCTTTTTCTTTCTTTTATTTCAGACAAACACAACAGAACGATTAATTACATTTAAACCTGATCTAATTAGTAATAATCACGAACATAATTTAGCACAGAAAGTTCCAATTGGATTATCTGAAATATCAAATTTAATGACTGCTAATCATTTATCAACAAGTTCAGATACCTTATCATCAAATCCATCACCACCACCTCCTATTCCTCCCAGAATAGCAAAAACTACTATTAAGACTTTACTTAATCAACAATCTTAATGTAAATATAGACAATTATTTTCATACAATTGTGTATAGTGTCAGATATTTAATTTAAAAAAAAAAAAACGTTTGTTTTTTTTTTTTTGTATTTTTTGCTTTTATTATAAAAAAAAGAAAATTTGCATATTCAGATAAAGCTTATTCTAAATCACTTGACTTCTAAGATAATATATTGTTCTTTTGATACAACTAAAATAGTGACTTAATTAAAGATAGAATTGTATTACTCTAAGTAGATCCACAATCGAATTAACGAATCATATTTTTAAAGTAACCGCCAATTATGACTTGATTATTATAAGATCATTGGAAATAGTTTTAAATAAATGCTACGATCACGAAAAATCGATGTTCAAATTTCGACTTGAAAATTCGCATAGAAACAGACCTTGACGAAAATAGTTTTTTTTGTGTGAATGTTTCGAGTCTTGTCGCTGTGCCTTTCCTAAGATACAATTATGGTAATAACGTATCTTTTACATCACACATATAAGCCAGCATATTTGATGTTCTTATTTCAGAAGAGGAACAAATCAAAAGATCTGAAGCATTCACAAAAAAAATCTATTCTCTTTAACGGTCGTCTCTCAGCAAAGCTTCAAGTCGGAAATCAATTTTTCGGGATCATGACATTTATTTAAAAAATATCGTAAATGTGCAGTAGATTTGAAAATGTTAGACTCGAGCGTCTCAAACTCTAAGTATCATATAAAAGTTATTACTCGCAAGCGATCAATTCAATTTTACCTTCTCATTATGAATTACAGTTTGATCTTTAATTTAGTACTCAATGAATTATAACGGTGCTAAGGAAAGTAATATATTAGTGTAATCCACTCGTATCTGGAATTTTCAATCTTGAAATCAAATAAATATTTTGCAAATAAAATTTAACAATATGATTAAAAACAAGTTTTGTATTGAAATATTTTCAATGTTTATAATCAGTTGAATGAAGATGTCGCACTCAATAGGAATATTGATGATAGGATTTAAACTTCGAAGATAGTAAAAAAATTCGATTGGATTTTAAAAAATGGGTAAAAAAAGTGAGGGACTACGAATAGACATGTCGTTTTTCTTTTTTGCTAAAAGTTCTATTATTATAGAATAATTAAACGTATCAATGATAAAATCGGATGTATCATCGTCGAATAATTTCGATCGACCAAAATTGTTACTTTTCAAATTTCTAGCTCATCAGTATGATTTTTGCTTAATTCTAATTATTATTTTTTTTTATTAATTTTCTTTTGTTTTTTTTTTACTAAAGAATTCATCCATTTGCTTATGCAGTTAATACATTTCTTCGACCAGCTTTAGATGATTGTCTTGGATTAATGCGTAGTAATCCACAAGACACATTTAATGTTTTATTATCACTTACACAAACATTTACACGATTTGCACCTGAATCCGAATTAATCTATGATGATATTCAACAATTTGCTGGTAAAAATTTCTATTATATATATATATATATATTTTATCTTTATATATTCGTCTATTGTTTTCTAAAGTTAAACTTAAAGATACTATTGATCAATGTTTTACATGGCTTGATCCTAATACAATTCAACAATCATCACATTTACTTGAATCAACTCATCAAAGTCTTTTAGCAATTATTCAACAACAAAGTAAATTTAAATAATTTTCATTTTAAAAAATAATTTATTTTAAATAGATACTGAAAATACAACTTATACAGATATGTATAAAAATATGTCAGGTATAATAAATTTGTATATCAATATTTATTAAATAATTTTTATTTCTCATTAAAATATTATTTCTAGCTGTATTAACAAATCTTGAAAAAATTAATTCATTACCAATGGAAATGCAAACAATGTCATTAGATAAAATTATTTCCGTTCAACAACCAATTAAACAAGAACAAAAAATGAATGTCAATGAACGAACAGGTTTTGTTTTTCATTTTGAATCTTCATGCAATAAAAGAATGAGTTAGACTAAAATACCGAGAGAAGTACTTCAACTATAATTTAAGTAGATTTTATCTGAGTCTTTGAATTATCCAATTTTTAAAAGAAAAAAAAGAACTAATACAATACTTAAGTCAGATATAAAGAAAAGACAATTGTTTGACATTAATAATCCATGTAGAAATGTAACAAACAGTAAGTTAGATCAGAAGTTTAAAATCTCTCTTCATTGTATAGAAGAGAAACAAGTATTGACAATGTTAAATTATGATGAATGATACTAATTTTATAACACTAAAGTATAGGAGAAAGGTTCTCAGAAATTTTCCTATCGATATATATACAGTGAGTCCCAAAATTGTTCAACAAGGTGTAATTTGGATTTTTTTTCGTAGTCTTAAGTGCTAGAAAGAATCCAAATAGTGATTTGGATAGAGAATATTGTTGCCAACAAGAATTTGACAAAATGATAACCATCATGAATTTTCCCAAATTAGGGTTTCTGGAAAACCTATATCCTAATTTTTCAACATCCAAAAGCCACAACAGAAAACTTTTTTAACAGTCTAGAATTATAGAGCAGCAAATTCTCTGCAAAATAAGACGTCTCCGAACTTTCTACAACCTTCTCTCCAAAAGTTATAAGCATCACAAAAATCGAAAAAATGCGTTTTTTAGTCGATTTTTCCATAAATTTCACTTTTTTTCGATTTTTGTGATGCTTATAACTTTTGAATGGAAGGTCGTAGAAAGCTTGAAGACGTCTTATTTTGTAGAGAATTGACTGCTCTATAATTCTAGACTGTTAAAACAAGTTTTCTGTTGCGGATTTTGGATGTTGAAAAAGCAGGGTTTTGGTTTTTCAGAAACCCTACTTTGGAAAAATTCACGATAGTTATCATTTTCTCCTTGAATGTTGAATAATCATAACATGAAACAGATTTCTTTCTATGTGTGAACGGAACAATTGGTTGTATGAATTTGCCAAATAAAGTGAATATCACAATCTCACGAACATTTCTCAGATTCATCACATAGAGTTCAAACTTTCTCGTTTTATATGTATAAAAAAAATAACTACGAACGTTTTAAGGATTTTCTTTGTTTACCTAAGATGAGTTTAGATTCTGATTTTATAATAGAAATTGTATAACTTTGTTCATTGTCATCATTTATATTTCATAATAGATTTACAGATTCAAAATGGACATATAAATAGAAATATTCCTAGTGCTTCGAATCAAACAACAATTACACCACCACCTGGCATACTATCAAAACAAACCGATAAACCTACAACAACTTTTCCTCCATCGATAATAAATCAATCGGAATCATCTCGATTATCACAAAATACAATTTTATCATCAACAAAACCTCTTATGGATCAAATGAAAACTCTTTCAGTATCATCAACTCCTATTTCAACTACAACATTAATACGACCAAAATCAACTGTATCCTATCAAAATGATTATGAAATTATAGATACAAGTACACAATCAATAAAAAAACCACTAACAAATATAGCTTCTTTTCCACCACGTCAAAATCCATCACTTTTTACATCAATAAATTCAACAAATGAAAAATCTTTACTAACATCTATTGATACAACAAAAACTGATATTATCAATGGACATTGTTCATCATCATCATCATCATCATTATTAAATAAAGTCATAAAAAATGATCATTCAAATCTTCAATCAAAAATCAATATAAATAATAGAAATGAAATTTTCAATAATCAACAACGAAATACACCTATTCCTTTATCTTTAAATGAGAATAATATTCGTTTAAATAAAATATCAGAACCACAAATATCATTAATAACTGATAATAAAGATCATAATATAAATAGACATTTTCATCAAAATTCTCGTTTTTCAAGTTCAATTATTTCTAATACTGAGTAAATCAAATAATTATACAATAAATTTAGATTATAATCTAACTAAAGATTATCTTTCTATTATTTAGTCAACAATTACATATTAATCAAACAAAAATCTTAACTCATCCTCATATAACTGATGAATATATTCAAGAATTTGGAAATAAACAAAGTAATTTCATAAAAACTTTTCACATAAAAAAAAAATCTTTTTTTTTCATTTAGATCGACCAAGTTTACGTGGTGATCTTGCTATGACATTTGGTACACCACAAAGTGGTCCACAAACAAATTGTTTACCAATTGGTGTTGGTTTATCATATGATGAATTAACATTACTTTCATGTGATGTACATCGAAATGCTCAAAATGTTCGTCTATTTGATATTCAAACAGGACGATTAAAACATACAATTTCAAGTACTCAGGTATTAAAAAATAAAAATAAAAATAAATTTTCTTTTGAAGTTTTTTTTTGTTTCTAGCAAATGAGATTTCATCGTCCAGGTGCTGTTATGGGTAATGCACGTAATAATATTTTAATTGTTGAAAGAGATTCTATTTATATAACTGAATCTGATGGTCGTTTAATACAAACACTTGGTCATCGATCTATTAAACAATTATATGGTTTATATTTTGCGATAATAGAAGTTTTGTTTTTTGTAATAAAATTTCTTTTCATAGGTATTGCTTTATATCGTGATCGTTATATATTAACAATTGATTCTAAAGCATTAGATAATCAATCAGCTGAAAATTGTCGTTTAATTTTATTTGATCCAAATAATAATGGTCAATTAGTTTTTGAACAAAATCTTTTGATTAATCGTCAATCAGAAAATATTTTAAAACAACAATATATTAATCATATACAAGGAAAAATGTTACCAGAATCAAATACTAAACCAAGATTTATTGCCGTACATAATGATGATATTTATATTGCGGATCTTGGTATGAAATTTTTGTTTTTGTTATGACTAGAAATTTCCATAAGATGATGGTCATAGTTTGTGACTAATCATAAAAGTTCTTTCGAATTGTTATAAATTCTTTTCGTAAACTATCTCTCTTTCTAAGGTCGTAGTTTAATTTATGGAACAAAACTTCGAAATCAATTTGAATTTATTTGTACAAGTGTTTTTGGTGGTCAAGGACGTGGAAATGGAGAAATGGTTGATCCATCAGGTTTATTTATTGATTCAGGTGGAAATATTATTAGTGCTGATAGTAAAAATGATCGTATTCAAGTAAAAAAAAAAGAAGCCCATATTTGAAAAATCAAATAATTTTTTGTTTTTGGCTTATAGTTATTTTCATCGGATGGTCAATATAAAACAACATTTAAATTAAATGAACGTATAAAACGTCCATCGGGTATATGTACAAATCGTGCTGGAACACAATTTTATGTATCATGTTATTTAGCTGGTTGTGTTCGAGCATTTAATATTGGATATTAAAACATAGAACGAATCATTTTTTGAATTATTTTTTTTTTTTTTAGTTAAATAAGATTATATTAAAAACAAACTTCGTAGTATAGTAGATTCTTTGTCAATCTCAGGTTTTCATATATTAAATGTGTTTATGTGTAGTATATATGTATGTATGTATGTATTTATTTTCATTTTCATTTGTAGTCATGAAGAACATTTATGTTACTGTTTTCTTTATGTTAATTCAACAAAAAAAAAAAAGAAAGACAAATGAAAAGATTAGAAATGAGAGAATTGTGATATGATTAGAAAAGAAAAAGAATATATGAGAATTTGCATCTTGAGATAAAATATCAGATCAATTGTTTTCATGAAATATAGATATTACATTGATAGAGTAATTATATTGTTAATATATTTAATTCGTTGTTATTGAAAATGATGCTTCCTTAATGTATTTTAAATAGAATCGATCAAAAGCAAAACTATCAAAAACAAATTTTTTTAACATAGTATAAATGCAGTTATAGACAACGAAATTAGTTTTAATTAAGTAAATGTACAGTGAAAAAAAAAATCTTATGATATCTTCTGTCTGTCATTCAATATCACAATTCTAAGGAGATACCATAATGAAAGCAATAAATAATGTCATCTATTTGCCCGAAACACTTTTTGGACTAAAATCTTATTTACAATTCGGAAGAGAATAATTTTTTTATATTTACTATTGTTCAAATAATCTCGGCTTCCTGTTGAGACTCCAGATGGCGCATATCAGTACATTTTTTTGCTATATTCTCTATACTTTTCATTTGCTTTGATTCCTTAAATATGAACCAGTAAGCATTTGATATGTACTTGATAATTGTTCACTATAGATACAATCAAAACATTCAGCAAGAATCTTATCATATGAAAAAAGATCAATGATATTACATTCACTGTTAGACTGAATACAGAATATTGAAACGATGAAATGAATATTGATCATTAGGTCTCATTGTTCGATGATGATGATGTCGAAGTGAATAGTTAGAAAGAAAAAAAAAATATTCTAGGACAGACAGCTGACTGTGCTTGTACTACTGGTTGTATGATAAACCAATGAATATTATTTAGAAATAACGAAGTATAAACTCGAAAATATCTTACCTTTTCTTTTCTTTCTCTTGGTCGTACTGGACTTTGTATTTCGTTTTGATAATATAAGATATATTTTGTTTTCTTTTTTGAAGATTTCATTTAAATATTAAGTAATTAACAATGGCATCATCAGTAAGAGAAGAAAAAAATCTTTCTTTTTTATATCTCTTCTAAATATAAAACGATGTATTTTTTAAGAATAAGGACGTCAAAGATCCAATTCGTGTAGTAATAACTGGAGCTGCAGGTCAAATTGCTTATTCATTAGTTTATCAAATTTGTAGTGGTGAAGTTTTTGGAAAAGATCAAGTTAGTTTAGTTTATTTTAAAAATCATTTCAAATATTTTGAAAATTGTATTTTTATTTAGAGTATTATTCTTCATTTACTTGATATTACACCAATGATGGGTGTACTTCAAGGTCTTATTATGGAAGTTGAAGATATTAGTTTGCCTATAGTTAAAAGTATAGTTTTCTATGAGTAACAAAAAATTTTACTCTTCTATTAATTTAGATGTTATACCAACAGATAATGAAGAAACAGCTTTTAAAGATGTTGATGTTGCTTTATTTGTTGGTGCTATGCCACGTAAAGAAGGCATGGAACGTAAAGATTTACTTAGTGCTAATGTAAAAATTTTTAAATCACAAGGTATTGCTCTTGATAAATTTGCAAAAAAATCTGTTAAAGTAAATCTATATTTTATTTCTATATATATATATATATAATTATTGAAATATATATTTCATTAGGTTCTTGTTGTTGGTAATCCGGCTAATACAAATTGTTATATTTTGGCTCATTATGCTCCATCAATTCCACGTGAAAATTTTACTTGTTTAACACGTTTAGATCATAATCGTGCAAAAGGTCAAATAGCATCTCGACTTAAAATATCACCAGATCTAGTTAAAAATGTTATTATTTGGGGTAATCATTCATCAACACAATTTCCTGATGTTCGTTTCTCAACTGTGGTTGTTAATGGTAAAGAAACATCAGTTTATGAAGCTATTCAAAATGATAATTGGCTTAAAAATGAATTTGTTTCCGTATGAAAAGATCTATCAATGAAATCGAATAATAATAATCTTTTTTTTTATTTTTTCTTAGATTGTACAAAAACGTGGTGCTGCTGTAATTGCTGCACGTAAACTTTCAAGTGCTATGTCAGCAGCTAAAGCTATTTGTGATCATATGCGAGATTGGTGGCAAGGAACAAAAGATGTATGATAAAAAAATATTGACTTTGATTTGTTTTATTTTTTTTTCTTATACAATATTTATTTTAGAATGAATGGGTTTCAATGGGTGTAATCAGTGATGGTTCATATGGTATTGAAAAAGGACTTGTATTTAGTTATCCAATACATATTAAAAATGGCAAACTTTCAATTGTTCAAGATCTTAAATTGGATGATTGGTCACGAGAAATGATTGATAAAACACAAAAAGAATTAATTGAAGAAAAAAATGATGCATTAACAGCTACAAGTTCACAGTGACTATATGATACCAATACAAAATCAATGATTTAAACAATTCAAACAATATTAGATTTTTACATTCTTTTTTTTTCTTTCTGTCCATGTTATGCGTAATCATGTAATTTAAATTAGTTTGAGATTTTTTTTTTAAATAAATATTCACTAGTACTTAACGTAAAACTGAAAAGTATTTCAAAAAAAAAATAATAATATCTATTTCTTAAATAGAAACTTCAATTAATTATGGCAACTAATCTTGTTAAACTTCAAACTGTCGAACAACTTTCACCATTAGTTCTTCGTGTACTTGGTTGTAATCCAGGTCCGATGACATTACAAGGTACAAATACATATCTTATTGGTAAAGGTCGTAAGTACGTAATTGTTCTATCATATATTTTAACCAATGGAGAGTCCAAAAAATTCTTCCTACTTTCCTCTTTATGTGTACTAAAAAAAAAACCAAGCATTGCATTAAATCGTGTATGAATATTTAATTAAGATAGATTTGTATTATAATTTTTAGTCGAATCTTACTTGATGCTGGTCAAGGTGTTCCAGCCTATGTTGATGAACTTAAAAATACTATAACAAAAAATAATCTTGGATTACAAGCAATTCTTATTACACATTGGCATCCTGATCATATCTATGGTATTAAAGATATTCTTAAATTAATTAATAAACGTAAATATTGAAACAATACATTACTATTAAATATTCGATTATTTCTAGCTGATTTACCTGTTTATAAACGTAAACTTATTGTAATGCCCGATTTAACAAAATTTAAAACATATGGTATACGAGAAAATCCAGATAAATTTGCTGATTTTACATTTATTAATAATGGTACAGACGAATTTACAATTGAAACTGAAGGAGCACATTTAAAGTAATTCTTTTTTTTGGTATATATTCGATATATTATTTTCTATTCTATTGAAGAGCTATTCATACTCCTGGTCATACAACTGATCATCTTTGTTATTGGCTTGAAGAAGAACGAGCTCTATTTTCTGGTGATACCATACTCGGTCAAGGTACAACGGAATTTGAAGATTTATATGATTATTTAAATTCTCTTAAACTTATTCTTAATCTTTCACCTACAAAAATTTATCCTGGACATGGTCCAGTCATTGAAAATCCTCGAGAAGCTCTTGAATATTACATATCTCATCGTCAACAACGTAATAATCAAATACTTGATGCATTAAAACAATCTAATGATGGACTTGATCCAGATGAAATAACAAAAATTGTTTATACGGTAACGTATAGAATTTTATTCCGGAAAGTTTTTTTTTTAGTAAAAGTATATTCAAAAATTATAAATTTAACAGAAACTTTTTTTTTGTATGACGATATTTAACAAAAATTGAAAGATGCTTCGTCCATCCTATAAAAACATATTAATAACCATTAAAAAAATATTAAAGTCATGAACTGTGAATTTTTAATAACAAAGAAAAGAATTAACTTTAATGCTAATTAGAGAAAATAAGATCATAATAGATATTTTCCTTTTGTCATTTCAGGATTTACATGAAACATTATTTTCTGCTGCTCGTCATAATGTTTGTAATCATTTACAAATGCTTGAGAAACAAAATCTTGTTTGTAAGTAATATATTTAAATTTTATTCTATTGTTTTAATTTTTTTGTTTTATCTTTCCTGTAGATTTTAACGATCAAAATAAAAAATGGTCATTACGAGTAAATTCATCGATCTAAATTCTTTTATTGTTTTTTTGTTTCGAATTTAGAAGATCTTTTATGAATTTAAATAAATTTTCATTCATTAGATGTATCAAATTATGTTTGCAACATAGTTTATTATGTATATAGTGCTGTATAAACAAACAATTAAATCTTGGATTTCTTTTTTTTTTCAAAAGATGTACCATCGAATTTTCTTATAATAATTGTATGAAAAAGTCCTTTTGGTTAATTCTGATCAAAAATAAAAATAAAAACTTGAAGAGTTCTTTTTGTCCAAACATCATTAAATTCTCCACAGTATTCAAAATAAAAAGTGAACTTCGAGAAGTGAAAACGAAATTCGTTGTAATTACTCAATATAACAGTAGAATAATGATCAACTATATTATCGAAATCAAGTTCCTTGTACAAGAAACGAATCATTGGTCAATAACTTGATACTATCTTAGTGTTTGAAAGTGGTTAGAAAAAATCATAAATGATGAAAATGACCGCATCTTGTATAATTTTCTTTTTAACCTATCAAAATTGCTTAGATTAAGGAGTCCCCTTCGAAAATCGAATTTTTCAAGAAAATATCGAAGTTGAGTTTTTATCCGAGGAGGATGCAGCGAAGCTTCTTCTTTCAGAGTATGTATAAATTTTTGGAAGATGAACAAATTTTCAAAGATTTATCACATGAAACTTTGAGTCTACTACCATATTTTCGGAGAAATTTTCGTGGTTTTTAAATCCCATTTTTGACCGCGCTTTAATTTGGTATAAAATTCTTTATTGATGCTATTTAAAATAACAATATTTCTTCCCTGAAAAAATATTTTTACACACACTGGAAAACTTCTTTATCGTTTTTCTCAAAGCACAGTTTCTAGACAGGAAAATTGAAATAACTTTCTCTCGGTTCGGGGTATCCTCAATGTTTTTTTTTTGTTTTAAAGCTCTCAATCACGGCTATCTTTTCATCAGACGGATTTTTGATGCTTGGCTCTAGGGCTGAGAAAAATGAGATTGACTGTCATCGGATGACATTTTTTATGCTTGTTTTACATACTATCTCCAAAAAAATGCTCGTAAAAAATGAATGGAAAGGAGTTTCAAAATTCTGTCGGATGAAAAGTTGCATAAAGAGGCCAGCTTTCATTTAAAACTAGCTCGAGCTCTGTACCGCTTCTAATGACGAAGTTATTTCGATTCTTCTGGAAGATAGGAAAACAAGCCGAAACTTTGGTTTAGTCAGGCATATCAGACTGAAATTTTTACCACAAGAGTTTTTCACTGGGATCATTCATTCCTGAAAGTTTCAGCTCAAACGATTCATCCCAAGTAGGAAATCTATTCTGTAGGGATCCTTAAGTCAATTATATGTCGACCTAATCACTGTTGCTGCTAAAATTCGTTTTCATTATCTCGAAAAAAGAAAACAGACTTCTCATCTCAAATTCCTCATTTTACGGAGCCACCAATTGAGAATGAATGGAACTTCATATTGAAGTGTCGTAAAAAAAATAATCATACAGAAACATGGAACTTTGTAATGACGTTTGAACGAAAATTGCACGACACAAAGTAGCAGTTCGAGTTATGTATTGAAAGAATAAAGAAACTCGCAAACGATGAATGTACAGTACTTCTCATTGTAACTCTAATAGGTCAACAAGTTTCAAAGATGCTTTTTATTTTTCAACAAACTAATTTTAGTATCATCCGATTATATTAATTGATATTCATAAGTTCTACTACAATGACAAGATCAATGAATCATAGATTCATATGGCGCTAAGACATATTCAATTATCCTATATGAATAATTTAGTAAATGACTAAACTAATCGTCGATCAACATAACAACGGATCGCTTTCTGTAACCAACGATACTCATGAAACCGATAGAATTAAAGATCATCGAATTTTTTCCGAAGCATTTCTTCTCAAAGTATCAGAATGTATTAAGATTGCCAATACTATTCGTACTGATGTAAGATCTCATATTGTATACAATATAATAAATAAAATTCAAATTATACTTATGTTTCTTATAGTATGGAATAGATATTTTAGAAACCAATGGCAATTTTGAAATAACAGATAAAGTTATTAATCATCTTGATTCTTTGTTATCGATATATTACCAAAATGTTAATCAAAATAATAATAATATTGATAGTACTCTAAATTTATCTGAACAAGATAATGAATTTCAAAAATCTAATTTATTTTATAACTTTTCAAATTCTATAATATCATCAAATAATGATAATGAAATTATAAAAACAAAACAATTTTCATCAGATATTCATTGTATACCAATTAAATTACCAACAATAGTTGAAATACAACTTAGAAATAATCAACTTCTTAGAAATGCTATTCATAAATATAGACGTCATGAACGATATTTAAATTTATCTAAGAAGAAAAAAATATCTTCAATAAAAACAACAGATGAAGAAGAAGAAGAAGAAGAAGATATTCTAATGATTGAAGCTAAATCTTTATGTCCTATGGAATTAAATGATACAATTGATTCATCATCAGTTATTCTTTCAAAAACTAAAGAAAGTCTTACAAAATTAATGAATCAAATTCATAATCAATATAAAAATAAAATTCATAAAGTATGTGTATCAGAACTCTTAGTATGCTAGACGTCGACCTATGAAAGTCAGTAAATTCTAGTAGATTACGTAAACAAGTAATATCCTTAAACTAATTGAATTGGTCAGCTTTTGTGTAAACAGTTTTTAGGTAAATAATTAATAGTCTAATTTTATGTCTTTATTCTTGTTTTCGTCTTGTATACTTACTCATTCTTCATTGCAGAATGTTTAAGCTGATTAAAAGAACTGAATGAGATTTTTAAAAAAATTTTGTATTGATGATACGTGACAACTCTATGAAATGTTTGTGGTTTATCCAAGACTCGATCTATGGACTGTTGTCAGTTCATGACAAAATCAGATAAGTCCTGTCCGATCCATTGATAGCTCTGATGTGTTTTATTCACGAATAGATTTTTATTATCATTATTTCAAATAGAAAACAAATAAATTAATTGCTAATATTGAAGCTATACTTAAATTTATAATCAATGAAGAAATTACTTATGAATATTTACAAAATGAAATAAAAATACATAATCAACAAAATCAATCAAAACAATTACGAAAAAAAAAGAAGAATCAAAATCAAACAATTCAAATATTACCATATGAAAATACATATGGACAATTCTATTATCCTAATCAATTTATACCAATTGAACAAACAATGATCGATAAAATTGTTTATGGTGTACAAGCTATGGCAGTTGCATTGACTAATACAGTAAATAAAAAAAAAATCAATTTCAATTTATTTTCATATCTGAAAAAAAAAAGAAGAAGAAGAACATAATACGAATAATTTATAATTTAGAAAGATATTGAAGATGTTTTAAATGGTATTGTCATGTTAGCTGATCAATCGACTTCTTCACTTTCTAATCAAACAGATAATAAAATAGCCGATGAACTAATGAGTACAATACAAAGTAAGAAACATGTACAAAAAATATTTTTTTTATTTTTTATTTTTTAGAACATTTTTTAACACAAAAACAAATTTATACAACCAATCGTGAACGAATACATGTTCGTATGGCATTAAATTTAATTTTAGCTGATAATCGTTTAAATGGTAAAACAATGATATTTCAATCAGAATCAATTATTTTATCTCGTATGATTCGAAAAATTTTTTTATGTACACAAATACGAACTTTATGTTCATATGGTGATATAATTACAATAATTAATGATTCTGATTATCATCATATACGTTTTCGTACATATAAACGAATGTCATTATCATTAGATGAATTTATTGAAATTCTTGGTGAAATATATCATACATCTTATGATACAATTGAAACAATGAAATATTATTTAGATGCAAATGATATTATTGATCTTAATACAAATCTTATTTATTCATCAATATTAACATCAAAACAAATAAATGATATGATTAAATATATTTTACGTGAAGATGCTATTAGACAATTAATAAAATTAATTTTTGATCGAATACGTAATAATGATAATCATATTAATAATCAACATCGACAATTTAAATTAAATCTTCCAATGAAATTAAATGATTTATATCAAACAATTAAAAAATTAAATGCTTTTAGTAAGTTAAATAGAATTAAATGAAAATTCAAATCTAATTATACATCGACTATATTCATACTAATGATTGAAATGATTCTAATTTTTTCATTTAATGAAAGCTCTAAAGGAAAAATATTGAAAAAAAAAATAATGTTTCCAGAGTGAGTGTGAATGCAGATGAAGAAAAGACTAGATTCACACCCACCCAAAACAATCTCTCTCTATGATTAACAACAGCAACTACATCGTATTTCACATTTTAATTCAATAGATATTGTGCTAACAGTTCTTATTTTCAAATAGTGTCTACTACTCAAGTAATGGTAGCTCTTAGAAAACCCTACTTATTACAACTTACAAAAAGATCTAAAATAAAGTCAATTACAGTAAATGATTTACGTGCTATAATATCTCAAATATGGTTATTGCCAGAAAATTTTAATATATTAATATCTGAAAAAACGATTACATCTGAAATATTAGATCAATTCTATATTGATTTTCATACAAGAGAAGATATTGATGAACGATTAAATAAAGTAAATAAATAAATAAAATTATTTTCTAATTTTTCTTTCTATTTAAATAAAATTTTTAAAATTAAAAAAGATTTGTAAAAAAATTCAAGATCATTTAAATTTACATAGTTGTATAACACGTGTTGTACTTAAAATGATTTCTGAACATTTCAATAATACAATGCTTACACCATTTCTTGATGAATTTAATAAAATTCCACGTTTTATATCAATTATTGATATATTTGATGATTTAATAACATCAGGTCTTATATCAACAACTGAACTTCTTGTTTATTCTAAACAAGATATTATTATTAAAAAATCATCTTTATTAAAACATTTTGAATCTATATCATTTTTTCATAAACGTGATGCTGATTTACTTGGTGAAATTACTTTAGTTATGCGTGAAGATGATTTAATTGAATATTTAACACAACGTGCTATGATAATAAAACAAATGTATATTAATTCTATATTAAATAATGATGAACGTCGAAATTTTATTACAAATAATCTTATTGAATCAACAAAAAGATTATCATCTTTATCTATTCATGGTAATTATTTTTAATTTTAATAGAAAAAAAAAACCGAATATATATTTATTTATTTTCAGAATTTATTCGTTATTTTAATCTTGATCCAAATTGTTGTAAAATATTCTATTGGATGGGTTTAACAGATGAAAATATTGTTAAAACATTAATTGAAATAAAAACTTTTGTTAATGAATATACACTTGATGGAATTTACAATAATTTTCTCATGAGACTTCATGATACATTAGGTTAGAAAAACAAATATTTAAAAAAAAAAAGCAGATACTCAAGAAATTCTAAGAAAGTTGTAGATAATTTAAACAGATCATTGTTTAGATATTATTTAAAATTTTATCTATAACTACAATAAATTTCAATATTAGACAAAATGGAGTAAGAGACCTAATATCTTATTAATTGAAGTTTTCTATATTTTTTCTTCTACAGTATGCCGAATGATTTTGAGCAAGAGAATTAGCGAAATGAGGTATCTAATTGAGGGTACACCGACAGTTGGGCACCCGACAGTTGAGCTCCCTGACAGTTGAGCCTTCATCGATTAATTACGAAAGAAACAAAGTCAATATTCGATCACTTTGTTCAACGCAAAATTAGTGAATAGAAACAAGTCACATCTTCCTATGAGATTGATGGCTCGCTATTAAATTTCTTCATAGCTAAGTCAATAATCTATACGAAAACGAATTAGTTTTTCGAATTATATTTCTCTTTTTTTTTTATATATGTTCCATTACTCTTCTATCTTATTCTATTATTATTTATACAATGGGTATTGTAAAATCCTCAAAAAACAAGGATCAACCTGTACTTGATGGCTTTTATTGCCATCATGTCAACAAGTCTTAAACCATCTGGTGTTGCTGTAGAAATAATTGTGCAGGTCGTGTGTGCTTTGATGGTGCAAAATACGTTTAAGTCACAGATCGTATTCATGCACTAAATCCGAAAGAAACACTGACCAATGGAATTTAAATCAAAGATTAGGAATAGTGTAGCAACATTTCACGATTCATCTCGCCGAATTTATTCAAAAAAATTATTTTTCTGTACTCTTTAATCACTTGTTTAATAGAGGCTCAACTGTCGTGTTACCCTAATTGAGGACTATCGATAGAATTCAATCATACGCCTGAAATTTTAAAACATTTGCTAATGCAAAAAAAAAAGATTCTTTTTTTGTGTCTCATAGAATCAGGTATTTATTATATATCAACTGAAAATTTAATAAATTCTGATCAACAAAAAGAATATTTAACAATTAAACAACAAAATAATAATCATAGTATTCATCAAATTATTGGTGAAAATTTTTGTAAACTTGGTTGTTTTTTAACTTATAAACAAGCTTCTATTCTTATTGATTATGCTGATCCAGAATATGAACATGAACTTTTATCTTTAATTACAATACATGATATTATTTCACAAGAAAATTTTAAAACTTTATTAAAATTAACAAATAATGAAATTAATTTTCATGAACTTTCTACAATAATTCTTCCAAAACAACAAGTGTAAGTTATAATATAGATAAAACAAAACAACAAATTGTTTTTTTTTTGTTAATTAGAAAATTTAAATATTAATTTAGAATTGAATGTAAAATTCTTCTTGATTCATTTCATCAACGTATTAATTATCGACAAAAACGTTTTAAACGCATTGAAAATTTACAAAAACTTCTTCTTTCATCAATATTAATTGAAAAATTTCTAGAAATAATTTCTAATTTAGGTATAGAATATTTTACTCATATTGAACTTGATTATCTTGAAGAAATAAAACTAATTGATATTGGTGTACTTGCAATTTTACTTACATTACCATCATATAATCCTTTAATTCATCAACATAAATATGAATGGTTTCATATTAAAGATAATCTTATTCAAAATAATGAACAAATTTCTAACAGTTAGTTATGACATATACTACAAAGTATTTTCAAGAGGATGATGCCCTCCACCTTTTATAACATGCCCACTAATTTGATCAGATTGTAGAGAGTACCCTTCAAATGTCTGAATATTACAATAACTTTTGGATTGAGTAAGATCTAATAAGAATTATAAGATTTGCAAAAATCGATATTTCTCTTCGTTATTTGATGTGAGCGATAAAACAAGTAATTCTTATCGATTCTCCTACTCTTACAATGTCTTTCGAGGAAATCTTGTTCATGAAAATTTGTTCATTGAGTTGACCTCTATGGGATGACATATTTTTCTTTTAGAAGAAATGCCGTTTTCCTCAAGTTAGAGGCTTCTTCAAGATGTCTCTCACAATGGAATCTAACATACCATGAAAAATAGAGGTTTTATGAAATATTAAATTATATACTTTAGCATTTTCAATGAAACTTTGTATGTATAAGTTCCTACCCGTTAGGTATATTATCTCTAAATTATGAGACAATTGGACGTTTTGTTGAAGAAATATTAAAAAAAACTAATTATGTCATTGGAAGAGTAGGAGAATTAGTTTTGTGCAAACCTTCAGATACTTGGCGGTACTCTCTACAATCCGATCAAATTTGAGAGTATGTTGTAGGGAGAGGAGAAAACCTCCCTTAAATAACAAGAGTAAAAATATCTTTTTTTCTTAGTATCACCAAACTATTTACATATTCTTGATCCAATTATTGAAAAATATTCTATATTTTTAACTACAATTATTATACGAATTATTTCAAATAAAGAACGTTTTGAGAATATCAATGAAATTTTACTATCAAATCCAGACTATTATTTATCAACAGAAGAAGTTCTTAAAATCTGTGCTTATGAACAAATATTAACATATGATAATATTCAATATATTTGTCAAGAAATATTTCATACTAAACAAATATTAAATACAAACAATCAATTTCATCATGAACAAAAATCATCAATTGATATGAATTTAGGAAATATACAAGAACAATCTAATAAGAAATCTTTAACTTTGAATATTGATCAACATGATAATGATCGTAAAAGTGAAGAAATAAATATTAGCAGCGATAAACTACAAAAAGAAAATATTCATAATCCAAGACGTCATGGTGAATCTCAAACTATAACCAGTTTTTACTAAATATTCGATTGCTGATTTTTGCTTATTGACAAAGGAAAATCGATGACAAAAATCAGAAAAACAGAGATCAACGATCAAAAACGAGATATGTTTTTTCAGTGATATTAATCTTTTCACAGTCACGATGACAGTGATTATTCGTTCCATCATAATGTCGTACTCTTCCCATTGTTCTCAACAGGGTTGGAACCGGTCCGGCAAACCGGTACCGGACCGGTTGAAGAAATCAACCGGGCCGGTAAAGACCGGAATTTCACCGGTTGAAAGTTTTCAAAAATCTTCTTTGTTAACCCTGTTTTTGACCATAAAAATTAAGGTGTCACATATTTTTTCTGTCAGAATACGTAAAAAAGTGCTCAAAACATATGTTATATTAATCGTTTTTTCTGAGGTTCTCTTTAAAAAGGTTCATTACGATGAGTGTCTTTTACCTGCGCCTTAAACTATTTCATATTTGGAGCCATTTTTTTCTAAAAATCGGTTTTCAAAAAAAGATTCGACATTTTTTAACCGGTTTTCACCGGAATTTCACCGGTTGGACATGTGATTCCAACCGACCGGTTTCCGGCCGGACCGGACCGTTTTAATATTTCTCAACCGGTTCCACCCCTGGTTCTCAATTTTATCTCTACTAGAGTTTGTCGGATTCAAAATTTTTGGACTCAGGTCCAGGACTAACCTGACGGACTCTAATCTCTACCTTCGATATGGTAAATTTCTAATTTCTTAACTATTTTCGGAATAATAGGATTCAAGAGGAAAGATAATTATATTTATATTAGTTTAAATTTCTAGTATTTTTAATAACTATGACATGTAGATTTCAAAATTAGTAACAATTTGAGATTTTCTATTTGTTTTAGTGACAAGATTAGATTTACGTGAAACTAATATAATACTTCAATCAATATTTGATTGTTACACTCGAAATATGTCTACGTATACTCATGATTCTGTTCTTCGACATAAAATAGAACAAACAGTTATAATAACTATATTTGATTATATTCTTCATTTTAATCATCGAACTATGATCAATGAACAATTAAGACAATTATTCAATGGATTTAAACCTTTGGCTTTTTATAAAGCTCAATTATTAATTGAAAAAGAAATTATAATTATTAAATTATTATTAAGCACACGTAAACGACAAGCACCATTAACACTTCATGATTTAGATAGATATCTCGAATCATATCCAATACAATGTCGATTGTGAGTTGCCTTTCTTCTTTTTTTCTTATGAAACACGATCTAAAAGAAATATTGAAGTATATAATGGCGGATATAAGTTTGGAGCAGTTGTATTTTTAAGTTTTCTTCTTGACGATAATAGCTAGCAAGAATCTGAAAAAACATTTGTGTAACTGGAAGAATTCTCTATCAAGATTGATAGGTAACGAAACTGCTTGGATCAGAACTTGCGGAAAACAAGATGTCTCCAAAACAAGCTTTCTGAATTCCATTCGAAGTGTTTAAAAAAAAAGTTTTCTTGATAGAGCAAATGATTCCGAGGAAAATGAGACTTTCCTTCATGGAGAAGTCTCATTTTGCTCAGAATTATTTGCTTTATCAAATAAAATCTTCTTCTAAAAGCTTTGAGTGAAATCCAGGAAGCTGGTTTTAGGGAGGTCTTGATTTTCCGAAGACACTCATCCAAGCAATTTTGTTGCCTACCAATCCTGATAGAGAATCCTTTCAGTTACATAAATATTTTTTTAAAATTTTTGTTAGATAGTACTATCGAGAAGAAAACTTAAAAATACAATTGTTCTAAACTTTTCTCCGCTACTATACAAGTTGGAATTTAATCTCACTACATCACAGACGTTATTGATATACGAGCAGAGACCATATATCAATAACATCTTGTTATAATGTATGAACTTCTTGTGATTAGAAACAGAAATTACATCGTATTTCACGCTTTAATCTCGCAGAGATTGCGCTAACAGCTTCTTTTTTTTTTCAATTAATACTACAATGAAGAAATTCTTCTATTTAGAGATATAGTCAATGAATTACGTCATTCAAAAATCATATCACAATCACTTACTAATAATTATACAATGAATCAATGTTATGAATTAAAAGTAACTACACTTGAATCTCAAGCTATATTTCTTTTTTATATGATGATTAAATTAATTCAAAAAGAAGGTTATATTGATGAAATTAATATAAGAAAAATTCTTAATCAATATCAAACAAATACTGAAAATGAAAAATTTAATATTATTTATAAATATATTTTACGTAATGGTTTTCTTACAATTGAACAAATAATTCAATCAGCTAAAGATTTTTTTCTACAAGATGTAAATAAATTATTTATTAAATAAATAGAAAAAAATATGATTTATTTTAATTTAGTATCTTAATGAAGATATACTTAAAAATCAATTAAGTGAATATAAAACTGTTATTCAAGAACAATTTTTAATTAATATATTTCATCGTAAACAATTAACTAATACACAATTTGAATTAGCACTTAGTCAAAATATGCGTCGACGTCAAGTTATTCAAACAAATATATTAAGTAATCAAATAAAATCTACTAAAATAGCAAAAGAAAAAGTTCAACGAAAAGTTGATCATGTTCTTTTAAAAATAGATGAAAATATACAATCATATTCTAAACCAACACAAATATCATCTAATTTAACATATAATAATCTTATTAAACAACATAAATCTATTATTGAAAATAATCAACAATTATTAACAATAAATAATGAATTATTACCAAATTTACGTACATTACGTCATAATTATATACAATCGAAAATACCACGAAATCAATTACATTTATTAGTTGAACAAGGTGGTTGGAATAATGATATATATATTGAATTTAAACGTGAACTTAATATTATTGATTCTAATAATTCATTAGATCTTATACGACATATAACATATAATATATCATTATTAATTAAAGAAAATGGTTCTATTCCTGAAAAACCATTAATGAAACATTTTCAACAACATCAAATTTTATTTCTTGCAGATTTTGAATTATTACTTATGCGTTATGGTATGGTAGCATTAGAAGATCTTATAGATTTATTAATTGTTAGTAAATTAGCTAAACCTAATGAAATTAAATCTTATGCTAAAACAATATTCTGTCTTAATGTAAATATATATATATATATATGCTCATTTGCTTTTGTTTTTTTTTTCAATAAAATATTGAATAATTTTACTAGTTATTAATTGTGAGTGCATCATATTATTCAGATATTCTTATGATAAGATAAGACAGTAACAGTCAAAAGCTGAAAGTAAATATTACGAGAGAACATTCTCAACTGTTAAATTACTTCTTTTTTGCTTGAGACTATTGTCATAGGAATGATCTTAATCAATAATGAAAAAGCCTGTTTTGGTTGGCTCTTTGCTTGCCGACTTATGAATATTTTACAACATTTTTGCTCTATGAACAAAGGATCACTGAGAACCGGTATAATCGAATTTCTAGCTGAGATTTTGCCTATAGATAGGCCATATAATCACTAAAGTCTCCTCATATTTGAGTCAGAACGAACGCATCCTAGATGAGATATTCACATTTTAAAGGAGCACCTATTTTCGACTGTATATCAAAAATAGAACATTATCATCCTATCTGTGGACAAAATTTCAACTTGAAATTCAATCATTCAGATTTTCCATGATCCTACGGCTATAGAACAAAAATTCCCATAACTTGGCAACGGAAGACTGAAACATCAAACCAAAACAAACTTCTTCGTTACCCATTAAGATCGATCCAATGGTAATAGTCTCCTGGACTCTGTATCAGGACGTTTAACTAAAGACTGGATGCAAATACACTTTTCAGTCTACTATCGATATGCAGCCATAGGATTCATTGCATAAATTGTATCGACGCCTACAATTGAGTTTTTCATTTAGATCTATTTATGAGGACAAAGTTGACAATACATACAAACTTGAGACCAAATTTTAAAATACTTTCATTTTTCTATTGACAATAAGGCCACATAAAAAGAAATCTATCCATTTTATAGTTGCTGATGAGACATGTCGAATGAAGTCTATAATCACATATTTACAGAAGAAAGTATTTACATCCGGTCTCTATAAATTGTTTAACTATTGATTAATATCTATGATTGAAATTCTTAAATCATTCAGATATTATACATAAAAATAATTCAACTAATACAATTAAACAAGTTTCTTTGAATCACTTCTTATTTAGGTAAACAAATTTATGGAAATATCTAAATCACAAGAAAATGCCTTAGTAAAAAAACATCATGTACAAAATAATTTAGAAAAAAAATTATGTATAACAACAACTGATCTTTCTCAATTACTTAATCATGTTCTTAAACTTGATCGTCTTAAACGAATCATTGATATGATGGCAACAATTAAAAATTATATACATTTACATCCAATAAATACATTCAATGCACTCAAAGCATTGAAACTTGAATGTAAAAATAATTTATTTTTTTTAGTAAAAAAAAAAAAAAGAAAAAGACTTCTATTTGTAGTCGATTTTAATAATTATGATATGAAATTTTTACGTGATTTAAAACTATTAAATGATACATGGTATAAAAGATATTTATTATCACAAACAAATGAAATAGATTCAAGAGTTTCAGAAATAATTGATGAAGAACAAGAACAAGAAGATCAAGATCAATATAAATTTCATTCGCCAATAGATGAAGATTATGATTTAGATGTATTTAATGAATTATTTGAAACAAAAGAATCACAATTAGACATTAGTGAACAACATAAACAAGCTTATCTGTAAAATAAAAACCATTAATCATTTTCTCTCCTATCTTTTTAAACTTGTTCTTTTTTTTTTTCTTTTAAATAAATATTTTAGTGAAAAACTCAAAAAACAAAAAACTCAAATCATTTCATCAAAACCAAAAGTATCTACTGATGAAGATTCTCTTCAATTATCAATTAATCTAGATGATTTTCATAAACAACAAGAAATAAAAAAAGATCAAACACATTTTATTGAACAATTCTATCCAAATGCTTCAATACTTGGACCTCAACTTCTTCTACCTTATATTTCTGATAATCAAAAACGATTATTTATTGAATTAGATTTTGCTGAAGAACAAAATATTGACGATTATTATTATTATAAACAAGATCAACGAGAATATATTACACAACAAATGAATAAATATTCTGATGTAATAGAAAAAGAATCTATTAAACTGCAATCAATGGAAACTTTTGAATCACAAATTAGAATATCGTCTCAAACATCGGATTTAATACAAACGGAAGACGATAAAACAAAAACAATGAGTGATTCAAAAGCTTCGATTCTTCTAGGTAAATCAATGACATCTTTTACAAATCTATACATAGTTAATTGATCGAAATATGTTGTTTTGTAGAGAAAGAAATTCAAAATGTAGAGTTTTGATCTGAAATGTTGCCTATAATAGGCACACTTCGTGTTCATGAGATAGCTCATCTATTTGGCTTTGAAATGAATACTGGGTTTATTTTTAATACAACTGTCGGAAAAAATAAATTCAAGTAGCTACTGGTATATTAGAGGACAAAGTCCAAACAGTAGACTTCATAAAATATACAGATGGCGGAGCAAAGTCAATTTAGGAGAGACTTGAAAAAAAAAAATTTTCAAATGTGAACGAGAGGGCAAAAAACAAAGGAGTGGTAGTTCGCTTTTACAATCCTTCAGTTTCTCCTAAAAATCGCATAGAACAATGGCAGATTTAACGAAGAGAACAACGAGATGGTCTTCCATCTTTCAGAAAACGTTTCGATTTTTCCGAGCATAAAAGAACGAAAAAATGGGTTTATACTATCTTGGATGAACCTAGAAAGTGTGTTCTGTTTCAAAATTCTAGATCCACTACTGACTTCGAAATATTGTTAGTACTACTTTTTTTAATTTCATAATAAATAAAACCTTTACACTAACGTGTTGAACCGAATAAACTAAAATATCTATCAGACATTGATCGCTCTTCGGCAAAGTTCTTGTCTACTGTACAACAAGCAGGTTGTGGTTCAGTAGCGACTTATGTACGAAAAGACTTGAAACAAGATTTCTTAATATACCTAACGTGGTGACATTACTAAACTTCCTAATGTTTTGTAAGACAATAATCGAACAAAATGAACTACTGAATTATGTCCATACATTCACCTTTTTATGCTGTTGTTCAATATAAGCTTGCCACAGATAACATCAATTCATTGAAAGAAATCGAAACTTTTGTATCATTTTTTAGAATCATCAACAATTCAAGATGATACTATCAATGACAAAGATAAACCATTAGATGAAGAGGAATTGCATATATCATCAATTCAAATATTAACTTCAGAAAAATCAACTGAATCGTTTCCACTGATTGATAAAAGACTTTCATCATTAACAGATGAAAGTTTACAGCGAAAATCGATATCACTTGTACTACCAAATATTATTGAAGATTTTTATACTATTCTCCTTGAATCGTAAATTCTTCTTTATTTGTATTTCAATAACGGAATCACTTTTTATTTTTTGCTTTAAAAATAGATTTCAACAAATGACAGATACAGAACAAATTTCATTACAAAAAAATTTACAATTTAGTAAATTATTCTTTTTTCTTCATAAAATAAAAATAAAATTTTCTTTTCAGTCCGTCACAATATTAATCAATGGTTTCAACAAATTCTACAATATAACGAACAAGTATCAAATCTTATTCAAGAAATAAATCCTATTGATAATAATTATGAATATTTTACTCAATATGAATTATTAACTAATCAATTAAATACTTATTTTCATAATGAATTAAATTTATTTGATAAAAATTTTTCATTTCTAAATAATTTAAAACTACAAAATTTTTTTCAACAACGAATTAATCAAATAGAAAATATTTTAAACGAACAAAAAAATCATCAAGAATTAATTAAATATGTACATAAACAAATTATTGATATTGAACAAATAATTAATGAAATAAATATAGATTCAAAAAAACAAGAAATTTTTCATAATTTAAATAATCAATTTCATAAATATAAAAATGATTTTAATCAAATTCAAAAATATGAATATTTTCAAATTCAACCTATATTAAGAACACATCTTGAATTAGCTATTCGAACATTTAATATAGATTTACAATATATAGAACAAATTCTTAGTGATAAAACATTAACCGATCTTATTCCTAATAAATCATCGATTGTAATAAAAACATCTATGCAATCGATTGAATCACAAATTTATAACAATATAATATCAATTCGAGATAATTTATCAATAATAACAATCAATATGAAAAATTGTCAAATAATAATTCCTGAAAAGAAATTATCACAAGATTTACTAAGAAAAGATATTGTAAGTTATTAAGAAATTAAATAGTTTATATTATATAATTGAATACTTTTATTAGAATGATCGTCTTCAAACTATTAAAAATGAATATTTAGAACAGAAAATAAATGAAGAAAAATTACAATTGATAAAAATAAATTTAGATAAATTTGATCAACAACAAATAGAATTTATTGATAAATTAGAAGATATTCATAATATATTAAATAAAGAATCTAATAAAATTCAGAAATATTTATTAAATATTACAACTGCTCGTTATCATTCTAATCATCCAAATTTTCCATTAAATGCTAAATTAAAATATTTTCCAATTGATAATTTAGGAAATTTAATAGAACAACCTTTGTGTCTTATTAATAAACAAAATATGCCTATTTCAGACGAACTTAATCTTATTAGATTACCATATGAATCAGATCGTTTTCATATTTCAAATGATAAACATGAATTAACAATCGTTGATAAAAATGAAATACCATTATCTGAACCGATCACTTTTAAACAATTGACATCGGAATCAATTGAATTTGAATATATTGATGATAATCAACAAACTATTCAGATTATTGAAATAGCATCACATCATCCAATTCATAAATCTATTATGCTTAATGTAAAACCGGTTTCCTTTGATAAATTACCGACAATTAAACAACCGGCAAGTATGTTGAAAAAAGAATTCAATGGAAAATAATGATAACTCAAATTCAGAAATAATGGATGTACTATAAATAATAGACATTTTTTTTCTTGACAATTTAAAGCATAGTTGAAAAACTTCATTCTAAGCAGATTTAATAGAGAATTTATCGCTTTACTTTATCTTGTCGACGAAAAATTCAAAAGATTCATAATTGCTCAATCATTCAGCTCCGATAGCTAGAGACTGTTAATTAATAATAGTTCTACTGAAATTTGAGATATGCGATAAAATGACCTATGAATTTATGCATCTGTTGATGTATGTTTTATAATTTTAGAAGAAAAATGTTTGTCTTGTTAAATTAAAGGCTATACTATTTTGTTCAAAATTGAATTCTATAAACAACGGGATAATAAGAAATTTTTCACAGAGAAAGTTTGAATTGTGAAAACACGAATTGCGACTATGTATCGAAAAGTATTTCTATGTATCAGTGTCAAGCCTTTTACTTCTGAAGCACTGAATCAACAGTCTTACAAAGATAGTGAAAACATAGAATATATAATTTACTATATTTCTATGCTAAACATATGATGTCTGGAGAGTCACCTATCAATAAGAAAACTATATACATCTCCACTGAGGTTAAAATAGATGAAGTGACTTTTTTTGCTGGTTATAGAGGAGATTTGTAAGTTTTTATTCATAAAGTCAAAGTTTATAAATACTCCTGAAAACTGTACCTTTTGAATATAAAATTTGTTTTTCGAAACTCGAAAAAAAAAAGAGATTTTCTATCCGAAAGTAATAATTTTCAGCAATATATTTGTGAACTTTAACTTTATGAATAAAAACTTGTAAGCTTTCACTATTATACCAGAAAAAAAGCCACTTGGTTTAATTTAACGGCAGTGATGATGTATAGTTTCCTTTTGGTAGGTGACTTTCCAGACATCCTGTACTGTACTGTTAGCATCAGACTTAAGGAGTACAGACTTTCACAAATCAATGCCGTCTGCAGGAAATGTGAGACCTACACGGAGCCAAATAAATAATTTTGTCGAAGGTTCAGACATTTTTGAATCGTAGATGTTTTTCTCTTATATCTACTGTACAAACTGATGTATTTTAAAGGTTTTCAGTAACATCTTATTGAGTCGTACGGATGCGAAATAGAGTCAAAATCAAATTCAATTCCGATTTTTTTTTGAACTCTATCTTTATTTCATGTCCATAGGCCTTGATAAGACGTCGTTGAAACCTTCATACAGTAAATATCAGATCTTCAGAAATGAATTACAAGAAAAATGTTCTATTCTTTATGCATCATTCGTTACATCTTTCCGTTTAATCAACTTTATTATGATATGAAATATAACAATCGATAGATATTTTTTTTTTTTCTAGGTCAAATATTATTTGTTGTTGATAATAATGATCAACCACTTTCTAAACCAATTCAATTCCTAGATCATACTTATTCATCATTGAATATTTCCGATTTTAATCTTGTTACTTTTCTATATGATGAAAAAACTAATGAACAAATATTATTAACACCTGAACAATATCTAATCTCTATACAACAAGCTGAATTTACACCAAGAAAATTTATTACATATATTATCAATAATAAAGATAAAACAGTCATATCGGAACCTATTCAAATATCAGATATTGGCATTCAAATACGATATTCCATTGAAAATATAATTTCGAATAGATTAAATTTATTTGATAGAAAACGTTATGAATTATTTACATATTTGAAATTATCTGAAAATAAAAATGAATTTTTAAAAATTCTATCCGATGAATACGAATTTATCAATGCTTATATACAAGATCGACTTGATAAATTAAAAATCGAAGAAAAAATCATTGAATTAATTATACCTATATTAGGTGAAATAAATTATTTAAAAAAATATATTAATCGAATTTTTTTTTTTTTCTATAGACAAACAATATGATGATATTTCAATTGATCAAATCGAATATAAACGTGAACAATCTAATATGGATAATCTTCTTAATACAATGAAATCATTTTTACAATTAGATGAAAAATTAACTAAATATCGAAAAACTCAAATAATTGAACAATTAGAAATTCAAAAACTTGAAAATAATCTTATTCAACAATTAATTCAAATATCTATTCAACTTGATGATCCATTAATAATTAAACAAGTTGAAAATCTTACAAATCATATGCAAAATACACAACTTCTCAATGAACTTCGACCTATTATTCTTTCTAGTTAGTTTTATTTATTCTAATATTAAATTATATTTTAAATTTAAAAAATAATTAGGTATTAAAAATCGTGCAAAAATAATTGAAGAAAAATTTGAAACTTTATTAATAAATATTCATAATAAATCTCATCAATTAAAACAATCAGAACAAATTCAATTTGAATATTTTCAATTTTTAAATACACGATTTAATGAAGAAATAGAACATGAAAAAAATATCGAAAATTTATATGATAAAATTGAACGAATGCAATATGATCTTCATCAAAAAATCGGTATGATTTACTCTAACGTATAAACATTGTTCGATTTCATATTACGACTACATGTGTATCCATATGAGACTAAGAAAAATTTTAAAGGATTCAAATTCATGATCCAGATTTATAGCAGTTTTAATGAGAGTAAAGTATTTCCGCAAAAATTCAAAACAAAGAGTTTTAACTTGAAAATTTCAACGAAAACGAACATATCTTTCTCGAGATATTCGATTTCTAAATAGACTTGATTACTGTGTTCTCCTATGTTTCCCTCAAAAAAATAATTTTGACTTGAAACTTTGCACAGAGACAGGCCTTAACAAGAGTAATTTATTTTGAAAGTTTCACATCTTTCGATTTACTTCTATCCTAAATAAGAACATTGAATCTACCGATATATATGAGCAATGTAAAAGACATACTTTTACCATAACTATATCTTAGAATAGGAACGGCGACAAGATCTGAAACATTTACAATAAACTATTTTCGCTAAAGACTCTCTCTGTGCAATTTCGAGTCTATGGGTTTTTTTTATTTCAAATTGAACTTTGAATAAAAAATAACACCCCATTTTTACCAAGGCAGAGGAACTAAGGGGACTAAGAAATTCTTTACATTCAGAATTCAAGAATTCTTTGGTTCCTTGTCTCCTGTTCCTTATAAAAAAGGGTACTATGTATACATACATAAGATATATAGAATTCAGCCGACATATGTTATATTTATAGTACCTTTTTTGAGGGTGGGCTAGGAGAACTAGGGGGACTAAGGAGACTAGCTAAGGGGACTAAGGGGACTAAGGAGACTAGCTAAGGGGACTAAGGGAACTAAGGGGACTAGGGGGACTAGGGGGACTAAGGGGACTAAGGGGACTAGGGGGACTAGGGGGACTAAGGGGACTAAGGGGACTAAGGGGACTAGGGGGACTAAGGAGACTAGCTAAGGGGACTAAGGGGACTAAGGGAACTAAGGAGACTAGCTAAGGGGACTAGGGGGGCTAAGGGGACTAAGAGGGCTAAGGGTGTGGGTGGCAATAAGACGAACACAACACCAACATCCACACCCACACCCTTAGCCCCCTTAGTCCCCTTAGTCCCCTTAGCTAGTCACCTTAGTCACCTTAGT